TTCGTCGCGTGATATGTATCGGTGAATTATATTTTTAAATGCTTTTTCCATTCTGTTCATATATAGGTTGCTTCTTGTGACGGTAGAATAAGTTAATGATTCCTATTTTTGTTTTAGTCATGACTTATTTTTTCATAAATTTCGTTCAAGCTAATTTTATTTATTCGTCGACGATGTGGCTAGGGTAGTTATTGTGGATTAGGGTTTGCTTAATGTTGCTAAGTTCCTTAGAGAATATGTCCGAAGAAGTGATTAATTTCGCTTGGTAAATCATGTTTTTTTTTTATTACAGCTATTTTGTTTATGTGAGGACATTGACTTTTGTAATTAAGTAAACACGAGTTTCAGTTACTGGGTTTTATATATCTATGTATTTATGTGTGTGTTTGTGTGAATGCATTGTGTAGCCGGGTGAGTTTTGGTGTATACAGATATAGGAATATATTAAGAATAAATTGCAAGGTTCAAACGAAAGCTCAGACCCTGCAAAGCAAATAAAATGCTTTTATCAATGCATGACAAAAACAGAAGCCATTCTGAACCAGCGATTATACAAGACAATACGATTCATTTAATCTTACCTCTGTTATGAAAGGTTGGTTCGGATAATACTGAAAGAAACACAAGAATTAATCTGAAATACACTGAAAACGAACATTTATTTTTCTTTGACATAATTCTTCTTTTTTTACTTCTGGATTGTGTTGCTCGAAAATTCAATTTCTCGTTTTGATTTAAACAGATGCTAATTAGGGCGTGTCAAAATATTTCTGTATTTTACAATGTGGACATTTAATGATAATTCATTTTTAAGGCTACACTAGGTTGAAACAGAAGCTACCGTAGGATCAACTGGTTTCTACCTGTAGGGGCGACCTCTAGGGAATGCCAGAAATCTTGGGATGTAATGGAGAGAACCGAGTCCTAATTCCAGTCGGCTTTTTAATATTGACTTATGCGCAAATACCCCTGGGAAAGGTATGAGCCCACTCTTTCTTCCCCCAACTATGGGTTAATTATTAGGGATTGTATCAGTAAATCATTATTATCTCCAACAAATTCTTACAATCTAAAACTATTTCTGGCTTTAAATAACCTGCAAAGCGTTGATAAATCGTAAAAAAATCAATCAATTATTGTTGTCATTATTATTTAGTTTCTTATTACTATAAACTTTATTTTAAGTGGCGAACGTGTTTAGGTAGATATCCTTGTTCGTTTACAAGTGTTTAGGTAGATATCCTTGTTTGTTTACAAGTGTTTAGGTAGATATCCTTGATTGTTTACAAGTGTTTAGGTAGATATCCTTGATTGTTTACAAGTGTTTAGGTAGATATCCTTGTTTGTTTACAAGTGTTTAGGTAGATATCCTTGTTTGTTTACAAGTAGTGAAAATAACGTCTACTGACCTAGATCATTGAATGTTTTATTAAAGAAAAATGTATTCTTAGCAGAAATCGAATCTGCTTTTTTTTTTTAAGAAAACGAGGAAATTCAGTTTTGATCCCTAAAATAACTATCACAGAAATATGTAGGTTCGATTCCTAAAATAACATCTATTGTAATAATACTGTCGAATTCTGCTCTCTTCTGCTGAAAGGGTGCAAATCGACCCCACCAAGCTCATTTTTATGCAGGATAATGCTCCCTGTCACAAATCAAAATTGATGAAGGAATATTTCATTAGAAGCAGGTGAGAGTTATGACATGGCTGCCCCAATCTCCTGACCTCAACCTCATAGAAAACTTATGGAGCATTATAAAGTACAGGCTCTCGAGAAAGCAGTTGAGCAACATTATTCTGAACGGATGCTTGACAGTACTTACTGCTAAATTCAATGAGTTTTCAAAGCTTCTTCTTCGGATTTTAGACCGCTTATCCTTTTAATTTAGCTCAACTAATATCAGGTGGGTCACTTTTATCGAACAGCACTGTATGTGGTATGAGCGTAAGAGGGGAAAGTAGGAAGTAAGGAGTATGAGGAGGATAGATAAGGGGTTGACCAAGAACTTGAAGAGGTAAAGTTTGTAGTGCTCGGTGAAGCAATCACATTGGATTCTGTCCCACAAAGTATCGGTTCCTAGGAAGAAAGTGTCGGAATGGAACTGTCTTCTTGCCAATGGAATATCAAGAAAATGAGGCTGATTCAACTTTGTGGGCATAACTTGTTAGGTTTCTAACTGTAAAGGTCTAAACAAGAGAAACTAAAGAATGGAGTGTTATCCCCATCTTCATTTCGGCCGTTGTACGCTCCGGCCTTATTCAGGTGATTGGAATTTCGAACTGAACCCTTTATTTCGTCCACCGGGATAGATTGTTCTAGTTCCACGTGCCATGCCTCTTCCAGGTGTCTCAGTTATTTCCCTTTAACTCAACTCTCCAGGGCTTTGATTCATAGCCCAGTGGATAAAGACGCTGGTTAGATCCAATGACTAGACTCAAAGAGTTGTAGGTTCAATACCAGGCCACAGCGGTGGTGAACCAAGAATCTGGAGAATTCAGTTAAAGGGAAATAACTGAGATATCTGGAAAAGGCATGACACGTGGAAATAGAACAGTCTACTCCCGGTGGACGAAATAAAGGGTTTGGTTCGAAATTCCAATCACTTGAAGAATGTCGGAGCGTACAACGGCCGAAACGTTGTGAATATGGCAATGAAGATGAAGATAACAGTCCGAATAATGTAAATGATGTAAGTAATCGTAATACCTCATGTCAGTGATATAGAAAGATATTAAAGAATGGAGCTCGACAGAACATTTGTCATCGACAGAGTAGCGAGATGCTTGCGGCGTTGCCTCTGTGGGAAAGGAATTATGTTGCATAGTTCCCTGGTGGGGGGGGGATCTTACCGCGTCTCCTCTTGGTCGGAGATCGCTGGTTGATTTGGTTCCGCAATGAATGACATCAACACGGAGAATTTTACCTTAGCTATTTCATTAATATCAACATGTACTAACTATCCAGTGGGGTACCCCCCTTACTGGGGGCTGTTTCAGACATGAATGAGAACACGTCTTCATTGCTTGACGGTTACGACTCGACTCCCTGAAAAACCTTTCTTTATCTATCATATTCACGCAAGCTCAACCAACCAAAATCGACTTTCTTATTTTGGCTTGCATCTGACTTCGAAGATCAACCTCCGGGAGTCGCAATTCCCCCTAAAAATTATAGTCTGCTAAACTATTATTTAACAATTATAGGGTTAAAAATATGTCATCGCCCGCAAGGCCGTCAAAACGATTTTGAATTCTGTCAAGGTTGGAAAAGATTGTTCCAGCCCAGATAATAGCACCAATATTCCATATATAGTTTGATCTGACCTTTGTAAATATAATGTATGTCAAGAGAAGTCAGTTATTTTTTGAAACGGTAAATGGAACCAACCATTATTCCAGCATCTTTAGCAATATATGGTATATATGAGTTCCACTTAAGGTCCGAAACGAACTTGAGTTCTTATAGATATTCAAAGCAAGGAGCTTCTTTAAAGGTGCCACCATTTATCATGGCTGGAGAAAATACAGGGTCTGTTTGGTGATGAGGAAACTTTACTAGATTGGTTTTAGAGTAACTGCAAGTTACAAGCCAGTTTTTCTCTATTGAACTGAGAGTTAGCTCAGATAAGACTTGTATTTTGGAAGTGCAGCCATAAGCTGTGTTATCATCTGCATAGATATTTACAATTGGTTTGAAAATGTTCCTAGGCAAATCTTACTTATTATAAAACGCAGATTGTGTGTGTGTGCGTGTGTGCGTTGATATATTGGATCGGATTTCCTACATTTTTCAACCGATTTCAACAAAACTTCACAGGACTGCGCAAAATTACCTTCCAAAAATTGGAAAAACACAATTGTTTTTGCCCGAAATCAATTTGAAAACACGATAAAACACGATTTTGTCGCCAGAATGAAAGGGGGGCAACTCATATCGAGTTATACTTATAAAACCCAGGTTGTTTGTGTGTGTGTGTGTTCGTTTATATATGGGATCGGATTTCCTACATTTTCCAACCGATTTCAACAAAATTTCATTTTTTTTGTGTTTCTTATTGTCTTGCACACTTTTTTCTTTATTTTTACATTCAGAATGCTTTAAAAATTCCATTTACAACACAATTGTTTATAATAAAATTCTATTCAATCGATAGACTCATAACGATTGAAAACAATGTTTTTGTTTGAGTTTGGGTTTGACCAATTCGTAAAAAACCAAAAACAAAAAAAAACTAATTAAGACATGCGTGTCCGTCAACCTTAAACAATAATCTTTGTCAATTTTATTTTTCAGTCTTTATGATGGTCGATACTTGATCTATCTCTTACTGTTACATTCCCGGGCAACGCCGGGCTCTACTGCTAGTCGTTAATATAAAGCAGAAAGATGGTAGAGCCTTGGAGACGTCTACATTGATCAGGACCGAAGGGAAAACCCTAGGAGGATTCTTACATTAATCAGGGCCGAGGAGAGTGTCTTGGGGATGCCTGCATGGATCAGGACCGAAGAGAGAACCTTGGGAACACCTGCAGTGGCCAGGACCAAAGTGAGAGTCTTGGAGACTGCTCACATTGATCCAGATTGAGGAGGGAGCTTAGGGGAACACCTGCATTGAGGGGGACGTACATTGATCAGAACCGAGGAGGGAGTCATAGAATTAGTGATAGAGTAGCTAGATGCTTGCGACGTTTCATTTGTGGCAAAAAAGTGTTGTAGAGTGGAAAATAAGTAATCACCCACAAGGCCGTGTGGGCGCTTTTGAACTCTATCAAGGCTCATCTGCCTAAGTATGTCATGTCCTAAACATAATAATGTTTACATTTATTAACCTGTGCACCCGTATAAACACATTTAACAATGTATTTGACATGCGAAAGAGATGTTAAATTCTCTTTTAGCCGAAGCAAATGAATTATTTTTTTTCAATTTATATGCATTGAGCAGAGAGGCCTGTTGACACTATAAACCACAATTTCTTAATAAAAAAAAACCTACCGGTGAATTATCTTGACCATGCTGGTATAGATAGAGTGTATAATTTTTACGCTGTCCAGTGTCGTTGAAAGCTATCCAACCTGTTTTTCCGTCTTCAACAACTACCTGCAAAGAAGAGTAAAATTATATCAATAATAACTTATTATCACTGATGCCTTTGATAGCGATCGCTCAATGTCACTTATATTATATCCCGTTATCAAATGTGGCTTAGAGCAATGTCCACGGCATGTAAGTTAGTTATGCTGTGGTAATGCGTATGTTGTAACCTAGAAAGAGTTACTGAATGAGGAATAACCAAAACAGAGGTTGGAAATTAAATGATAATCTTTATAACATCAACAAAATACAATACTCGCCAGCGTCGTGAAATAGGTAAACCACAGTTAGTGGTGGACTACTTAACATATTACCCCCACTTACAATAGTGTCCAAGATATTTATGAGGTCATACCCATTAGAGTTCATAGGTATGGTATATAGCAGTTTCCATACCGTTTTAACTTCCTCTTGATGGTGGATATAAAGTCTTCTAATGGGTTGTAACCTAGAAAAGGTTACTGAATGAGGAATAACCAAAACGGAGATTGGAAATGAAATGGTAATCTTTTTAACATAAACAAAATACAATAATCTCCAGCGGCGTGAATAGGTAAACCACTGCTAGTGGTGGACTACTTAGACAGCATATTACCCCGACTTACAATAGTGTCCAACGTACTTATAAGAACAATAAGAACGAATCTACTATCATATAACTTTTATTATAATATATTATTATAATTGTTCAATTTTATTATTAGTTATTGTTGTTAATCTCTTACTGTGTCTAATAAAATCTACGATAAGAAAGTAACTACTATCAGTCACGTAACATTTATTATAGTATTATAGTATTATTTAGTATATTGTTATATTGTATTGTATCACCAACTCATATTAGTTCATGCTAAGGTTCATGCTATAGCTTCAGTTATTATTAAGAATGAAATAAATTAAATTCGTTTCAATATTTATTGATATTTTAAAGACTTTCAGAATGAGAAAGCTGTAAATGTATTGATCAGATACTCACCGATTTTAAGACGTTCATAAACTTTTCGAAATCAAAACCTGCCGTGCGATTGGCTATATAAGAAAATATTGCTCTTTTCGTCACTTCCGCCACGTCCTGTGCAATGGCGTGTTCTGGAAACATCTGGAAGCTGTTTAACTTGATATATCGGAAAGCATACAGATTGCACTTGGCCAGAAATAATTTCATATGGAAATAGTTATTTCCCGATAGTGATTCAAAACTGGAAGTCTGAAAAAGAAATTGTTAAAAACTTCACGGGACAATTCTAATGATAAACAATAGAGATAAACTATTGATAGAAATGGAACCATTATACATCTCTGTTAATTTTTTGTTAAGCGTGGATACCTCGGCGTGGTGTATAGCTGGCCACTCGTATTCGAGGATAGACTTCTACTAGTTCGGCTAGCCAATACCTGTTGCAGACACTTGCTCAGGCGCATTTGTGTTTATTCAACATCTACAGAGCCCACCTGTGGTTTATACTGCAACTATGTTGAGCAGACCTTAGTTACAGTTTCTGGGAAAGAGCGTGTTATCTAGCGTGATCAACAATTTGAATGCTCAAACCCTCGGCTACGATGACTTGTGACTTCATGCTAGCACAGCTAACGACGGCCCCCACGGGTCCCGTCTACTCACAAGGCTTGGGTCAAACCATGTTATAGTTTTCAGGCACTTTCCAGTCCGATAACATCAGGAAGTCGAACCTGGTGAGATTCGAACCCGGGTCTCATGATCAGAATGCGAACGTTCTAACCACTCGTGCCCATAACCTCGGTGCAGTGTCATTGCTAAATTAACTTTAACAAAGTAGTGAGTTCGATCCTCACTGTGTACTACCCACCACCCTTGTGCCACATCTAAACTACGCTTAAAAAAAGACTATTTTTCGTTAGCCGTTAAGATCATTTCGCAGCCACGATAATTTCGATTATTACGTAGAAAATTAAAGAACAAAATCAAAAGGTGATTTGTCTTCGATTTTACTTCTCAGGGGTTGAATTAGTTTTACAACTTTAACCAACACGAGATTTAAAATCTTTTAGCGATCCTCTTTGTGAATATAAATTTTGTCTGCCTTTTTAAAGTCCTAAATAAAATTTAAAAGATAAACCATATCTATTATTATTATTATTATTATTATTATTATTATTATTATTTGTGTATGTTGTTTCCTGCTTTCGATCCTGTAAAGCCGGATCCAAACTATGGTCCTTAGGCCCTAAGGAGAATTGTCATTTCATTGGTAGCACTTTTCCTAGTATATGGGATGTTCCTAGTAGGGCGATCCTCTGGGCAAACTGTATGTTGATATTACCTGGGACACTTTTCGTAAAATTGTCCATTCCTTTTCTTACGGGGCCCAGAGCTCCGATTACTATTGGTAGTCTCAGTCTTCATTCCCCACATCCTGTTAATCTCGGTCACCAGGTCCTTGTATTTGGATAATTTCTCGATAATTTTCATGAAAATGTTTCTCTCAGATGGTACTGCTATGTCAATAAGCATACACTTCCTGAATTTCTTGTCTTTTATGATAATGTCAGGTCTATTGACTTTTATTTCCCTGTCAGTTTGAATTGACATGTCCCAGAGGATAGTTACATCGTTATTTTGGGTAACTGAGTCTAGTTGGTACTCATACCATCTCTCAGTGGTTTCGACTTTGTGCTTCTTGCATATCGTCTAGTGCACATATGCCGCTACCTTGTTATGTCTGTGGGTATATTCATTTTTCGATAGTTCCGGACATCCTGAGATAATATGGTCGACAGTTTTATATTTTTCGCAGATCCTGCATTTCGGTTTAGTTTCATCCTTGATAATGTAACAGCGATAGGGTTTGATCCCGAGCTGCAATAATTAGGCCTTCTGTCTCAGCTTTCAACGCGGGGCTCCTCAACCACCGATGTGTTTTCTGTTGGTCCACATCTGCTATTTTCGTTCCTTTTAGGTATTTGCCATGTAACGCCTTGCCCTAGAAGATTCTTTTGTCTGTAGGGTTTCAGGTATGTTAAACTGTTTCTTGAAGAGTAACTCTTTTTGTTGATGGAGTGGATTTGGTGTTTTACTGTTAGTAGGAGAGAGTCATTGGTTTTTGTGAGGTATGCTACCAATCCGATTGTTTTAGTTTATAGAGTTAGTTCAAGTTGGATAAGACCTTGGCCTCCTAAAGCTCTTGGTTAGTCGGAACTTCTTTGACAATCTCTTTCTACACTGTCCCCAGATCCCCAATGTCAAACCCTGAGTCCCGAGCCATGGTGTCTGGGAAAGTCAATTTTCGTGAGAAGACAGTTCCAGAAGGATACCATGGTACTTATAGCGGTCCGTGACTTAAGGGTCCCATGACTCAAAAAAGATTAAGAACGAGTACTCTATATCGTCTGTTTCAATCACGACTATACTGTCGTAATTTTCTCAATAAATTTATTCTTGCGACCCGCAACTAATTTTTGGCAATCACTGTAGGCCCTGACATTGTTTTTAAAAATTGTGTATACCTGGTCGAAATCATACAGCCACATTGTTTTTTTAAATTTCACTTACCGGATCAACAAACACAAATGTTCTGAATTTATCCTTCAGTAATTGGAATTTGCTTGCCTGAAAAGAGTTCAAATTTGAAAAAAGAAAAATTAGTTCACCGATTGTAACATGAGAGGATTGTTTATAATGGGTCATTAAGTTCATTTCTATTGGTTATATATTTTACATGTTCACTGAAATAGATTTGATTTTTTTTTGCTGTGGTGTGCATTGGGATAGACAAAGATGCATTCCAAAAGCTAAGCAGAGTATTAAGACACAAAAAATGTCTTTAGAGACAATGAAAAGAATATTGAAATGTTACGTGATATGTTTTCCTAAATGGCAGTAAATGCTGGACAATCTCCTCAAAGATGAAGAAGAGACTTGAAGCAACAGAAATGTGGATCTACAGAAGGAAGCTGTGAATACCATAGACCGAACATGTGAACAACGACAAAGTTTTAGAGAAAATGGAAACAAAAAAGACATTTATATTTAACATCAGGAAGAGACAGTTGACGTTTCTAGGTTACATAATGAGAAACGAAGGCTTGGAAAATTTGATACTGACAGGACAGATTGAAGGCAAGAGGAACAGAGGGAAATAAAGCATAACATATTTAATGAGCTTGAGTAAATGGATGGAGGGGTAAGGTTTAGGAGAAATAACAAAAAGACAAAATTTATTAAAAGTGACAAATGACAGCAAATTGTGGAGAGCCATGATCCCCCACGTGCTGGGGATGTGGGACACGGCGCTTAAAAGAAGAAAGATCACGAAAATATTGTTGCCACAGATTTTAGTCTAGTTTTCTGGACAATTTCTCCACAGAGGAAGTGAGATTAAATATCTCGGAAGTGTTTTAATGCAGAATAAAAAAATACAACACCGAAATCAGATCATGGATTAGAATAACAAAACATGACTTCCAAAAGCATTTTTAACATCATTTCACCCCAAGAAAGGTAATAAAGCCACTAGGACGCAAAAGATTACTGAGCGTTACACAATATGAGAAAAAAGTACGATTAAAGAGAGAGGAAAATAAAATAATAAGAATTAAGGAGACATAAGATAACGATTGACATTGCATTTAAATCTTTAAAGATCAAACTTGACTGGAAAGCAAGAAGCCGGAAGAGAGTTCCACAAGCAAGATGTGCGATAGAATAAACGCTTTGCATAGAACTTACGGTTATATCTAGCCATTTCAACTCTAAAATGATGAGACCTTGTCCCTAATCTCGTACTGGGCTTAAGTTCATAAAATCTAGGTACCATAGAGGAAAGTTCGTCAGAACAATTATCATGAAAGTATTTATAGAAAAGTCACAGGGAAGCAACGTTGCGGCGGTGTGAAAGGGACTGAACCTGAGAAACCAAGTCAGGACCAATAAAATTGCAGATTCTTCTTTGGATTTTATAAAAAAATTCTAAATATATAGCGGGGGCAACAGACCAGATGTGGCAGCAATATTCAAACCAAGGACGAATGGTAGACCTATAAATATGTAAGATAGATTCTGGCGATAAAAATTCACGAACTAAGCAAAGTGTTAAAAAATAAGAAAATTTCGTTAGAAAAAAAGAAAAGACTGCTGAATTGCTATGTAATATTCATCCTCTCATATGCTAATGAATACTGGACAATCTTCTCACATGTGAAGAAAAGAGTGGAAGCAACAGAAATGCAGTCCTACAGAAGGATGCTGAGAATACTATGGTTTGAACATGTGAGCAACGACAAAGTCTTTGGTAAAATTAGAAATAAAAAAGAAACATATAGATAGTATCAGAAAGAGATAGTTGAAATTTCTAGGGTACATAATGAGGAAAGATGTGTTGGAAATTTTGACATTCACAGGAACTATTGGTAGCAAGAGGCACAGAGGCAAACAGCGCATAACATACCTTACGAGCTTGGGTAAATTGTTGACAGAACAGGGATTAGGAGAGATAGCAGAGCAAGGATTAGAATAGATAGTAAAAAATTTCTAACAGCTACAAAATACAGGAAATTGTGGGCACACATGATAGACCACGTCCTGAAAGGACACGGTACATAGAAGAAGAATATTAGTTTCTTTAAATGAAGCAATGACGATGACGTCATTCTTTAAATGAAGCATTGACAGCCATGATTCTTTTTTGCCTCGTCATTGTTTTATGGCAAAATTTAGTTGCTTTTTGTTTACTGGTATTAATAGTGACGTTAACTTGTTTGTTTATTAGATGAATCATTGTCCACCATTAATAATTCAATAAATATTCAACAAGTGAAAATCATTCAAATTTAGCCATATAGCTATATTCTCTACTTCTACTTCTTATGGATGGGAGTTGCAATAGAAATGAAGATGTAAGAAATACTAATAAAAATTAATAATAATTGACAATGCTTCATCTAAAAAGGGTAAGTCATCAATTTAGCTATATAATCTAGTTCTACTTCTTATGTAGGAATTCGTAATAAAAAAAAGAAATCATAAGAAAGAAATATCAACCATAAATTAATAATAATTGATAGTGGTTCAATGGCTAAACAATTTCACGTAATATTACAACAGAATGAACATGTAATAATTGTTCTTTAGGAGACTTGGAGGCTATAGGCAGATACTAGTCTCTATAATTCATGAAATCATGACAAAAATACATCCCAAAATCAAATGCAATTCTAAAAATCGATAATGGTATTTATATAATTAGATTTTTTTATTTTAAAGGTTGCAAGTTTCCAAATTTATTCTTATTTTATATAGAAGAGGGAAGGTGCCAATGTGAACAACTAATATAAACATCTTACACATTAACACCTGCGTAATAGGTATGGGAGAGTAAGATTTCATAGTTATGGGAGATTAAGGTTTTATAGTTAAGGGAGAGTAAGGTTTTATAGTTATGGGACAGTAAAGTTTTATAGTTATGGGACAGTAAGGCTTTATAGTTATGGGACACTTAAGTTTTATATTTATGGGAGAGTAAGATTTCATAGTTATGGGAGAGTAAGGTTTCATAGTTATGGGAGAGTAAGGTTTTATAGTTATGGGACAGTAAGGTTTTATAGCTATGGGAAAGTAAGGTTTTATAGTTATGGGCGAGTAAGCTTTCATAGTTATGGGACAGTAAGGTTTTATAGCTATGGGAAAGTAAGGTTTTATAGTTATGGGACAGTAAGGCTTTATAGTTATGGGAGAGTAAGGTTTTATAGTTATGGGAGAGTAAGGTTTCATAGTTATGGAAGAGTAAGGTTTTATAGTCATGGGACAGTAAGGCTTTATAGTTATGGGAGAGTAAGGTTTTATAGTTATGAGAGAGTAAGGTTTTTTTAAAGTTATGGGACAGTAAGGTTTTTATATTTATGGGCGAGTAAGCTTTCATAGTTATGGAGCAGTAAGGTTTTATAGTTATGGGAGAGTAAGGTTTTATAGTTATGGGAGAGAAGGGTTTTTTATAGTTATGGGACAGTAAGGGTTTATAGTTATGGGAGAATAAGGTTCTTTAATGGGAGAGAAAGGTTTCATCATCACTCGGCAGACTATGAATGTATTCGAATCTTGATGAACAGTTGCACTCTCAAAGAGGCTCTTTTCTGTCTATTGGAACTATAAGTTGTATATTCACACTACCATTTTTGTTTATGTGCCAGAAAATGTTGTTTGTGTTGGAAAGAGGCATCAGACAGAAGAATATGTTTTCTCCACCAAGACCATGCAAACACTTTTGAACTCGATCAAGTCTGGAAAGTGATGACTGAATAGCGCCAGCCCATGCATGGCAGCAATACTCTTTTTTTTAATATCTAATCTGACTTTTGTAAAGATAAAATGTAGCAGAAGAACACTATCAAGGTTTTTGGTTCTAATCTAGGTCCAGATAATTTGTAAAGATACATCTATCACTCAGCTGTCCATCGTCAATGCTTATTCTACATTGTGTTTCGAATCCTGTTCACGTTGATGCACAACAAAAACTGGGAAAAATTCCGTTGCATGCTTGCATGGTCACGAACACGAAAAGCAAATGGCACACCGAAAAATAAGGATTCTAACCCTGTTTCTAATATTATATTCAGACGTTTTATTCAGGGCTTAGCTTGCTCGGTCTGGGTGGGTAAGTAGGCGACACTTTGGACAGTTATCTAAAAAAGGGTATATAAAAGTTGTCTGAAAAGCCTCCACCGACTCAATTATTCTAGTGCTCTCCTTCGACGGATGCCGCTTAGAAAATTCCAAAGAAACCATCCACTGGCTATAAAATAGAAACACCTGAGATCGTTCTTTTATGTGTTTCGTTCTTTCGGACAGATTCAGTGCATAAAGCATTGGCCTATGTTGTCAAAACAGTTATCTGCACAATTCCTAATGGGTCACCTTTCCCACCCACTCAGGTCGATTCTGGTATGATTACTTTTTGCTAACATTCGCTGATTATGTCGTTGTTTCATTTTTATTTCCACACAGTTTATATCAGTTTTTTTGTGATTTAGCAAGACTAGATTGTATATAATTAGTCCATATGGTGTTATTTTGGTTTGATAGTAAGTAATTCTCGGATTCTAGGATATTCACTGGTCTCTTTGTCCAGTCTTTGAACTATTTTTGCTACCTGTATCCCCATTTTCATTTCCATTTTGATCCCAAGGATACTTTCTACCTTTTGATCCCAAGGGCACTGTTTACCTTTAAATCCCAAGGACACTGTCTACCTTTAAATCCCAAGGACACTGTCTACCTTTAAATCCCAAGGACACTTTTACCTTTTAATCCAAAGAACACTTTCTACCTTTTGATCCCAAGGACACTTTCCACCTTTTGATCCCAAGGACATTTTCTATCTTTTAATCCCAAGGACACTTTTGACCTTCTTTGGACATTGGACTACACTTTGAACTTCCACACCGCTTTGGACCTCTGACTCACTTTGAACCTGCGGGCAAAGGTATGATGTAAGCCCCTACACCCCGTAACTGGCCCTGGCAATAAATTAAATCGTGGTTACATACCTCCGAGAGAAAAACTGTACTGAGATTATGTTTACTTTCTCGCGGACTGCAGATAATATGAAGAGTTTGAGTCATATACAAGGCGTTCCGAATTACAGAAGCGATTCGTTTGGTCATTTTCTCAGGGTCAGTGTTGATCACATATTTGACAATAAATTTTCCGGCGTATATCATCTGGTTTGCGAGATCATGACATTCTGTAGAGAGAAAGAAAGAGAGAAGGAGAAAGAGAGAAAAAGAGAGAGAAGAAAATAATAATTAATTATATTCCCAGGATTGATGTAATTGAGTCACCAAAACAATAGGTGAGATTACAGCGCGCGTACAAATAGACGCTCTCCCGCCGGGTAACTCAGACGGCAATGAGATGAAACTGAGTGAGCTTGTGTACTATGTGACAGTCGCATTTACACTGACTGAGCGTCTGTCCATTTCATGCAGTGCGACAAGTAGGGGCTGTAGGGGAAATTCCAGACAGATATTTTGACAAATTCTTTGAACGAGACACGAAGAATCTACTCACTAGATCGTTGTGAATGTGACGGTCACACAAAACACAAGCTCACTTAGTGATATCCCATTGTCAATCAATTCACTCTCAAGCAAGGTGATAATGCCATTAATGCACAAGGGGCTACTGGGTGTGACAGCGAATGAAAAGAGTTTAGAAGAAACCGGAAACCCAACCCTAAACAGGAAAGAAGATATAAACCTCTACTCTTGTTCAAAAGACAGGAGAGGAGTGTGAACCGCGCGTAGTCAAAACTATCTACTCCTATTGAAAGAGAAGAAACAATATTTGATGTTTTTGTATTAATAATAAATTTTCATTTTTTTAAAATCAATTCACCCCCAAGTTAAGCGATAATGCCATTAAGACGCAAGGTGCTATCGGAAGTGAAAGAGAAGGAAACAATTTTACAAGGAACCGGATGCCCAATCGTAAACAGGAAACAAGGGATAAACCTTTACTCCTGCTCAAGTAGATATTATCTTTCGTGATAGTCTTTGTCAAAGACTGTATAGGAAGGAAACCACTGACTGATTGTCAATATAACATCAAAGCTATGCAGCCGGTTCTGGACTTATTAAAAATCGATACTCTCCAGGGGTATCCACCAACATATATATATAGTTAGTCTTTAAACTTTTCGCCATTTTGCATTTTAAATTCAATCACTTCTAGCAAAGTGAATTCAATTCAACTAATAAGGCAAATACAACAGCTAAAACAAACAAATATATATATATATTTTCAAGTTTTGTAAATTTCTATGAAAAATAAACAGATGGAGATATGAAACAATATTTATAGGAACCGAGTTTGTTTGGCATATCACACTGCAAAAAAAAAAAAAAAAAAAAAGGACCTTAAAAAAATCCAGTTTTTGTATAGAAAATAAATCTATAAACATCATTAAAAAATCCTGCAATCATGGACATTCATGCTGGCAAAGAAATTGAGTGTCAAAAGGACTGTTTTTCTGTTGACACCGCTATTGTTTTAACTACCTTCACTCCTCCTCAATGTTTATCGTTTGAAAAAACGATGAATAGCATTGTAATAAAACCTATGAAAGTGAATTTATAAATGTTTTTGTTCTTGAGAATTTACAACAAAAATAATAAACTATTTTCTATCCAAATGTTGCTTTGTCTTTTTAGAACGTTTACGATCATGACTCTTTTCTTTATCATCTGTAAATATTCTTTGCGAAAGAATATATAATTATTTATTATAAGATCTCATTAGAACGTATCCGGTCATGACTCTCCACATAGTTCTCTTCTTTATCATCTGTGAATATTCTTGGGAAAAGAATATATAATTATTTATTATAAGATCCCATTAAGACGTATACGGTCATGACTCTCCACATAGTCCTCTTCTTTATCATCTATAAATATTCTTAGGGAAAGAATATATAATTATTTATAATAAGATCCCATTAGGACGTATCCGGTCATGACTCTCCTCACAGTCCTCTTCTTTATCATCTGTGAATATTCTGGGGAAAGAATATATAATTTTTTACAATAACATCCTTTTAGGATGTATACGGTCATGACTCTCCACTGAGTCTTCATTATTTGTGTATTGCCATGGGAAGGATAGTGAAGTTGTACTCCGCTGTCTTCACTGTTGAATTTAAAATAAGACTGGTTGACCCCTAAGGTCTGAGAGTTCAACTCTGTTATTCAATCTGTAGTTTGAAGCGGAGGAATTGACGAGTTCATGCCTTTCCCAAGTGTATTTGTATGCAAGTAACGCAACAGACTATCACGGAATTTGATCTCGGCTTACCGATTTTATTTTCCGCATCGATATCCATTACACTACTCGTAAAAATTACTCATATATGTGGGGAGGTACAGAGAATAACCAGAAGCAGAGTATAAAAGGGGAGATACAGACAGACCAGGTGCGATTGCTGATTCATAGATTGATTTTTTACGGTTTATCAACATTTGTGGGTTATCTAAAGCCGAAACATATCTAGTACGATAGGAGTTTGCTAACTGTACCCGATGTCCGAAACGGACTCCCATCTATGTACTGACCGGGCTCACCGCTGCTTAACTTCGGTGATCAAACAATCGAACTGGTGTTTTCGGCGTGATTTCACTGGAGGCAGGCCCATTGCGAGTAAGGTGGATGTGGAGACTGAAATACAGAGATGGTTCTTTTTGAGTTTGTAATCAGACTTAGCAACTTTTTCCAATTAGGTTTACGGCCATATCACGTTGAAACACCGGATCCTGTACGATCACAGAAGTTAAGCAACGTTGTGCCTGGTCAGTAACTAGATGGCTGACAGCTTGGGAATACCAAGTGTTGTTAGCTTGGATGTGCGGGTAATGTAGTGGATAATGGCTCGGATTTGTTAATCGGAGAGCCGAGTTCCAATTCCAGTCAGATTCGTTATATTCACTTACACGCAAATATCCTCGGGAAAGGCATGAACCCACCTTTCAGCTATTTGTTAATTAATAAGACATGTATTACTAACTCGTTATTTATCTAAAAGAAACGCCAAAAATTTACAATCTAAAAAATATATTTTCTGGCTTTAAATAACCTCAAAGGGCTGATAATCCATAAAAAAAACGAACCAATCAAATACTGATTAACTACACTGGCATGCCTTTGAGATTTATTTACATTCTCTAGAATATAAAATTATAGAAACTAACGTGACCACCAAGTGAGGGACCAGTTTACATAGAGATTGTAATATAGAATTAATATCCCACTTTACATCCACATTATAATTTCTTGTTTGTTTTAATTCTGATTCTTCCCCCCAGTTATGGGTTAATCATTAAGAGTTGAATCACAAAACCATTATTATGTAAAAGAAAAAAATTAATAATAAAATAAAAACTTCTGACAATCTAAAAAAACAATATTTTCTGGCTTTAAATAACCTGCAACAATCGATAAGCCGTAGAAAACAGATCAATCAATCAGTTTTTTCGACTTACCGTAATTGTCTTCAGTATTGGCTGGCATTACCATAACACCGCCTTCCCAATTCTGATGCAAAAACAAATCCACAACAGCCTTGTTCTGTTCTCTTGCTGGTGGTCGAATGTCGATCGTACTATTCCAGTGGGTCATGTCCTGAGTCCGACTGCGATCTGTCCATTGATTACCTTTCTCATCGGTCAGGATATAAGGCATTTCAAGATGGTCCATCACCATGGCTAGGCTGGCGTAGTAAGGTCCAATCGTTATAATAGTCTCGGTGAAAGTGCTGGTACCAACTGTAATAAGTAAAGTAACATGTATTATCACGACGAAATGTTCGTCTAACGAGCCAGATATACAAAAAGATTCGAAGGAGTGTGTAAACTACTCTCTCAAGTCGTATGCACATTCTGATACTTGCCGGTCTCAGGGATCCGTCCCTAGACTGGTAGTATCACAGCTATGACTAGCTTGGGCCGGCTCTGACCAGTTTGGAACAGCGCTAACCAGCTTGGACAAGCTATGATCAGCGGCCCGAGTGAAGACACTCGTGTCTCCACGTTAAAAAACCCCCAAAAAACAACTTTGTGTCACAATCTGATTCAGTGGAGGTTCAAGTAAATACATACACATTCTGATACTTGTCGGTCTTAGGGCTCCGTCCCTAGGCTGGTAGTATCACAGCTATGACTAGCTTGGACTGGCTCTGACCAGTTTGGACCAGCTATGACTAGCTTAGACCAGCTTGGACAAGCTATGACCAGCTAAGAACAGCGGCCCGAGTGAAGATACTTACGTCCCCCACATTAAAAACCGACCTTATCTCACAACCTGTCTCAATGTGTGTGTATGTGAGTGTTGGGGGCGGGGGGCGGCTCAAGTAAATATATATAAAAAGATTTGAAGAAATATAGAATTAAAAGCAGTTTAGTCTCCCCTTTTCAGTAATGATCTATTCAATTGTATGGAAATAGGAACATTACAAAATATCATTAGTAGTCGAGGAGACCAGGCTGCTAATATGTGCCTTATATTTCTTTTATTTATTTGGATATTTTTTACTTTTAATTTTTTTAATCACCCCCACCCCAAAGCAAGGCTGGAACGACACTAGTACGCAGAGGGTTAGAGAGTGTGAAAGTGAAAGAAAAAGGAGGATTAAGGGGAGGACAAAAGATGAACGGGATTCAAGAAGATAGATGGCGATTGACGTTGCATTTAAATTTTTGAAGATTGTAGTTATCAGGGAAGCAAGTAAACAAAAGTGAGTGCCGCAGGTGGGAAGTACGAGAAAAGAAACTGTTGGAGTAGAAGTGGCGGTTGAATTTAACTATTTCGACAGTAAAAGGTGAGGGACCTAAATGCCAATCTATTAGCACGTTTAAATTCATATAGTCGGGGCAACAGGGAAAAAGGCTCATCAGAGCAGTTGCCATGAAAATATTTGTAGAAAAGACACGCCACTGATTTTAAAAGTATTTTTACATACAGTTATATCATAATTCTGCTTGCTTCTTCTTTTTTCCTCAACTAGTAGTGTAATGGATAGTGGCTCGTAACGATAAATCAGAGATCTGAGTTCGAATTCCAGTCGGGGTGATTACATTCACTTACGTGCAAATAAACTAGGGAAAGGCATGAATCCATCTCTCCCCATGCAATATTCACTCGGAAAAAAAAAAGAATTATTCTTATGATCCAATTTCAGTTTTAAATAATCAATAAAGGGTTGATAAGTCGTAAAAAACAAATCAATCAACAATCTTTTGTTCTTTAGAGATCACGTACGTTACTCCCTGTCTATGCTTCATAATTAATAGACTATTCCGTCTTGATAGTGAGGAAAGACATATCAGAACCGCTGTTTGTTTTCCAAAAACGTGTTTCGTCTCCCCCATTTTAACGGCGGTTTCTCCTGCAATAGCGGGACACAGCTTCGGACCATGTCGTAGAGCGCATTTTATTTATTAGGATCCACGAATGTACAGGCTGGCAGACGTAAGTCACATTGTTTAAATACGGGACGTCTACTCTAACATGGGTTATCCACTAAAATAACGTGTGGAGTAATATATAAAGAATAAAAGAAAAAAAGGCTTGAATTTTCAACATGTTTATACTAATAGATACACGAGCAATATAGTTCTGGGTATAACGATAAGCTACATCCTGCAGCAAGAGATTGGAGATTCTTAGGAGCGTGGAACCCCTGCTTAATTGATGTTGATCTCAGGTCAACCCTGGCCCAGGGTGGTAGCATCTGTTAGGGTTCTAGTTATGGGCAACTGTTAGGGTTTCGGCTATTAAACAGATGAAGAAGAATAGATATTCTGTTCATATCTTAGAAAATTAAATTTTCATCATGACTGGTTTGCTTTGACTGGAACCGTTCTATCTTTGTTCGTTGACTGGACCTTTTTTGGATTTGTATGTCTTCCGCTTTTTTGGATTTGGATGGACACTTGCTACACTTTTTTAAGCTTTGACTGGACTCTTTCTAACTTTTTGCATTTTTGGCTGTGACGGGACACTTTTTCCCTTTTTGCTTTGACTGGATTCTTACACATTTTTTGGCTTTGACGGGGCACTTTTTCCTTTTTTGCTTTGACGGGACACTTTTTCCTTTTTTGCTTTGACTGGATACTTTTTGCTTTGAATCCTTTCTAACTTTTTGCTTTTGACTGGGCCCTTTCCAATTTTGGGTTTGACTGGACACATTTTCCAATTTTTTGCCTTGACTGGAGTTTTTCTACATTTTAGATTTGGCTGGCCCCTTTCCACCTTTTTACTTTGACTGGATTCTTTCTCCGATTTTTAGTTTTGCCGCGATCCATTTCAATTTTTTGCTTTGCCCGGATTCTTTCCACTATTTTTGCTTTGACTGGAACCTTTCCACTTTTTTTTTTTTTTTTTTTTTACTTTGACTGGACCCTTTCTAATTTTTTGCTTTGACTGCTCTCTTTCTACTTTTCTGCTTTGTCTAGACACATTCTACGTTTCTCCTTTGACAGGATCCTTACACATTTTTTGGCTTTGACGGGGCACTTTCAACTTTTTGAGATTTTGATTAGACACTTTCTCCTTTTTTGCTTTGACTGGATACTTTTTGCTTTGACTGACCCCTTTCTATCTTTTTGCTTTGACTGGACTCTTTCTACCATTTTTGGTTTTGCTTGAATGCATTTCAATTTTTTGCTTTACTCGGATCCTTTCCACTTTTATATTTTGCTTTGACTGGACCCTTTCCAAATTTTTGATTTAAGTGCACCTGATCTACCTTTCTTTTGGTTTGACTGGACTCTTTCAACATTTTTTCTTTGACTGGGTTATTTCTACCTTTTTGTTTCGACTTGACTCTTTTCCACCTTTATTTTTGTTTTGACTGGACCCTTTCCATATTTTTGGCTTTGATTGGGGCAGATCTAAGTTGTTGTTTTTTTGCATTAACTGGATCCTTTCCATGTTTTTTTTTTTTTTTGCTTGACTGGGCTCTTTCTACCTCTTTGCTTTGACATGACCCTTTCCACGATTTTGTCTTTAAATGGACCTTTTCCATTTTTTTTGCTTTGACTGAATTCCTACTTTTTTGATTTGACTTGACACTTTCCACGTTTTGGGCTTTGACTGGACACGTTCCACTTTTTTGCATTGAATGGACTCTTTGTACCTTTTTACTTCAACTTGAACCTATCCACTGTTTTTTTTTTCTTTTTTTTTTGCGTTTAACTGGTCCCTTTCTACTTTTTTGCTTTTACAGGACCCTTTTCATCTTTCTGCTTTGACAGTGCCATTTCCACATTTGGGTAACCATTTCTTTAAATGAGCTTTCTCTTCAAGATCATACGAGTAAAATATGTTTAATCTCCAATTAAATTTCGCTTCGTTAACCTTAGGTGGTATCCAGACAAGGAGAAGGCTAACCCTGGATTCAAAATCTTGGAAAAGGCAAAGAGTATTATACAAGAAATCATAACAGTTCAAGGAAAATAAAAGAATGAAATTTTTGTTGAGACATGATCGCCTCAGTTCTGAAAGAACATTGATCCTCACTGAGTGCACCATACCTATGACTGTAGAGTGAGATTAGTAAATACTAATTCAGGACGCATATAAGGTAAGTGAATCCGAGGAAAGTAGTAAGTAACCTAGGGGACAATTTTGTGAAAAGGGATCGAGGAACAGGTAACAGAACGAGAAAGAAGTCAAAAAGGAGTCTTACTGGGAGTAACAAAAGAGTGGAAGCTATGAAGGGCCATGGCCATCTAGGTACTCAAAGGACATGCTTAAGAAAATGGAGAAACAAGTAGCACAAAGAAAAAAGAGATTCATAAAGAGCATACAAGTAACAAAAAGTAACAAAAAAAGAACCTGTGGAGAACCATGATCTCATACGTCCTTAAGGAACAAGTTTGAGCTAATGAAATGAGGAACGGGTATTAGAAAAAAAAATTCTTAAAAGAGTGTTGATGAAAACAAAAAATGAAGGACGCTGTGGAGAGCCATGATTGTGTAAATCCTCAAGGGACATGTTTGATCAAAAAGATGGAGGAACTACACAAAAAAGATTCATTAAGGAGCAAGTATTGCTGAAAGCAACAAAAGAAAGGAAACAGTGGAGAGCCATGATCCTCTACGTTTTCAAGGGATATGTTTGAGCAAATAGAGGAACAAGAATTACAAAGACAAGAGAAGTCGTAAATGAACTACTATTGGTCAAAGCAACAAATGAAAGGCAGCTGTGGAGACCTATGATCACCTACATCCTTAAAGGATATATTTGAGCAAATAGATGAAGGAACAACAGAAATAAGTATCACTAAGCAGTAAGCATTGTTGAAATAAAAAAGAAAACAAAGAAAGCTGTGGAGAGCCGTGATCGCCTGCGCCCTCGAGGAATATTTTAAAGCAAACGGCTGAAAGAACCACATAAATGAGAATCATTAAGGTGTTAATTTTGTTGAAAGCAACAAAAGAAAGAAAGTAGTGGAGAGCCATCACCGCCTACGTCCTCAAGGGATATGTTTGAGCAAATGCATGGAGGAGCAACATAATATAAGAATCATTAAGAAGGAGTAAGTATTGCTGAAAGCAATACTAGAAAGAAAGCTGTGGAGATCCCTGATCGCCTACGTCCTGAAGGAATATGTTTGAGCAAATGATTGGAGAAACAGCATAAGAATCATTAAGCAACAAAAGAAAGCATGGAAAGTCAT